CCTCCTCTCGAAAATTCCCCACCTCCTCTCGAAAATTCCCCACCTCCTCTCGAAAATTCCCCATCTCTCCTCGAAAATTCCCCATCTCTCCTCGAAAACTCCCCATCTCTCCTCGAAAATTCCCCATCTCTCCTCGAAAACTCCCCATCTCTCTTCGAAAATTCCCCATCTTCCCTCGAAAACTCCGCACCTCCCCTCGAAAATTCTCCATCTCTCCTCGAAAACTCCCCATCTCCCTTCGAAAACTCCCTTCCAACGGCGATATTTCACGGACACGGCATACATTGTCGAGAGGATATACTCGAGCGGAATCCTTGTTGGTACGCGCGTCGATATACGAATTCGCATGGCGATGGAAAAGGAGGAGGGGAGGGGGGAGGCCTGGAGGCGCGCGATTCTTCGTTCAACCCCTCGTTCAAAGTTTTGGAAAGGGATCCCTTTTGAGAGTCATCGCGATACCTCATCCATCCATCCATCTATTCATCCATCTATCGTGGTCGCGTCCGATGGAGACGAGTCGCTTAACGATCGTTTTCGCCGCTGGCTGCGCATCGCGGGTCCGCTTGATTGCGACCAACTGCGGCACGCTTCAATGCGGAAGAGGGCGCGGAATGAAAGGAAACGAGGTCGCGTTCCATTTCGTATCTCGCCTTCCACCTTTGTTCCATCGGGGATCATCGACGCCTCTTTGCGGATGTTGGCACGGATTCGCGCCTCTTACTCGGCCGAGCAAAATTTCGATCGTTTTCGTTTCGTTCGAGCAGAATTCTGACGTTTCCTACGAAATGTTCGCTCTCGAGATAAAAAATGGTTTCGTTTGTAGTATAGGATATAATAAGGAACAGGTTTCGATTTATTCCTCCACGCATCGAGATGATTAACTTCAATACTCTTAGTTTCTATTTTATCACTTTAATTTCTACAAAATTTAATAGTTGACGCGTCTTTCTCGATCGAGGAAAATTTCGTCGGTAGAATTTTCGAACGAAACGTTCGCTCTCGAGATAAATATTTGTTCCATTTATATATAAGTATAGTGAAATGCAATATAACGAGAAGAAGTAATACTCTTGGTTTCTTACCTTTTATCGCCTGCTAATTTGTACTAAATCCAGTGATGGGCAAAATTTAATAGTTGACGCGTTTTTCTCGATCGAGGAAAATTTTGACGTTTCGAAACGTTGGTTCTCGAGATAAAAATTGGTTCCGTTTGTACAGTTTGTATGATATAGTGAAATGTAATATAATAAGAAGCGGTAATACTGATGGTACTAGTCTTTCTATATTTTATCGTCTATTGATTTCTGCCATCCAGTGATGGGCAAAATTTAATAGTTGAGTTGACGCGTCTTTCTCGGTCGAGGAAAATTTCGATCGTTTTCGTTTCGTTCGCTAGAGAGTTTTGATTTAATTTCTGTCACCCAGTGATGGGGAAAATTTAATAGTTACGAATACGAAAGTTACTTGTATAAGAGAATAATTGTAATATCAAAACCGAGGTTATATTATGAAAAAGCGGATCGACTGAAATAGCCACGAATAAATAACTTTTTATTTTTTTCAAGAGGTTAATGCCCAACTCTGCTCCACGCCATCTTTATTCCATCACCGTTTACACCTTTATTCTCACTCAGAGTCGGATCAATTTAATAATCAATTTAAAAAAGAGGGGGAAAAAAATCTCAAAGATAAAGAAAATCGAAGAATCCACTCCATCCACTCGTCTCCCAAATGATAATTAAAGAAACTTGTGCTCGCAAAGAAAATCCTTCAAGATATCCACGTAATCCAGCAGGACAATTGAATTACATATTCAACGGTGGTGCGAGGCGAGTTGTTCCTTTAGAAGAATCTTTGTTTGAGAAGAAAAACAAGGAAGGTAAGAAAAAAAGAAAGAATAAAAAAAAAAGAATTCCAACGGGAACGTGATCAAAACTTGCACCACTAATGATGCGTTTCTTTCTTCTTCGACTCTCGAGGGAGGATCTTGAGAGGAGGAAACGAGCGCGAGTTTTCAAGGAAACTTCTCTCCGTCCACCCTCGGCGCGAACGCTTCGAAATATCCTTGGGAAGCGGAGAGAAGAGAGAGAGAAAGAGAGAGAGAAGAAAAAAAAAAGAAAAGAAACATCGAAGAAGGCGTCGATTAGAAGACACAAAGCGCGAGATGCTTATTCATGGGAGGCGTGTTTCGAGCTCGTTTGTATCGTATCTCAACGACCCTCTCGCGATTCTTTTATTCTGCACGGCGAGCATCTTATCCTGGATACTCTCGTTTGCCGGGGCTCAGAGACGAATTAAAGAGAAATCTGCGCACGTGCAGTTGGCTTACTTACATTTCCGTTGAATTGTTTGCTTGCGCAAATTGGTTTATTCTGGTGCAGACCTCTCTCTCTCTCTCTCTCTCTGTAGACGTTCAATTCCACTTTGGGCGGGCGAATTAGAGAGAAACTGTGTTTCTTCGATCGTAAGCTGGTTATCGAAAGGTGAGACGTGAAAACGGCGAAGCATTGTGAAGTTGACATAGATATATTGGGATACGATTGTTGGAAACAATTTTAGACCGATCGCTTTTATCGTTCGAAACTTCGATTGGAACGAATCAAAATTAGGAAAAGTTTGAATCGCTATAACACGTCGAAGACAATGATTCTCGAGAGGTGGATGGGAGGAATATCGTTAGAGATATTATATTTGAAAACCGGTCTTCTATTTATCCCCTATACCACTTCCGCTTCCAGAGATATCGTACAAAGAAAAGATAATTTTCAAACAGTTCACTTATACTCGAACGATTAAACCTACGAAAACTTTAAACCGCTATAACTCCGAAGATAATGAGTTTCGGTCGATGAACGAGCGATCGTCAGAAGCGGAGAACCTTCCCCTTTAAAACGTTTCTCGATTCATCCCGACACGACTTCCGGTTCCCGAGATATCGTCGTGCAAAAAAAAAGATAATTTTTAATCGTATCTCCGATTGACGCGTTGCAATAATTCTTACAAAGTGATTTAAATGACGTAATTCCTCCTATATTTCTCAAGTAAAATTTTGATGGTAAAAGCTTTCTTCCTTTATATATACAAAAAAATAGGAAAATAGAAATTTCATTTGGGCGCGAATTGCGATATACAGGGTGTTGTATTATAATTGAACACCCGTTATTGACTTCCCGAGATATCGTCATGCAAAGAAAAAAATAATTTTTAATCGTATCTCCGATTGACGCGTTGCAATTCTTACAAAGTGATTTAAATGACGTAATTCCTCCTATATTTCTCAAGTAAAATTTTGATGGTAAAAGCTTTCTTCCTTTATATATACAAAAAAATAGGAAAATAGAAATTTCGTTTGGGCGCGAATTGCGATATACAGGGTATTACATTATAATTGAACACTCGTTGTAAAGAGAGATTCAAGTTATTCGCGCTTTCTCGAATCGGTGTCGCGCGAATTTGCGCGTGTTTGCGAAATTGGCCGCTGCGAGATTAAACATCGCGCCGAGAGGAATTTGTCGATGGTCGCGCGGCGCAACCATCGTAACACTAACAATTTCACAATAATATATTCGGTTCGACATACGCTGCATTACCGTTAATTGCGACGGGGGAGGGGGGAGGGAGAGAGAGAGGGAGGGGGGACGGTCCCATCGACCCCTTGTACCGAGGCCGGCATATTAATTACATAAATGGAATTAATGCGTCCGCGTACGATTTCCGGCAGCCGTGGCAGACCGATGCAATTAACAATTACGGATATCGGATGTATCAGTTATCGATCGTTTCGCGATATATATATATATGTATGTATATATGTATATATGTATATATATATATATAATATTTTTTTTTTTATATAATCGGATATGAAACGAGACAAAAAAAAGGTTCTATGCGCTTTTGGAATTTCTTTTTTTTTCCTTTTCTTTTCTTTTTTTGCTGATAAAAGAATCGACTTTTCGTGTTCTCGCGTGTTCTCACGATGGAATAAAAGAAACGAGGGAAAGGGGAAGGAGTTTTATATATACGTGTAGAAGAGAGGTAACCAGACCAAACATTAAAAAACATCGCGGTGGCGCATGTGATATTCAACTGTCTGGTCCCACGTGTCAGGGGATATTTCCCTTTACCGAAACTTCCGCCAACTTGTGCAATATTACATTACACATGGCTACGTAGGGAGTTTCTCGGGAGAATCTGCATTTCGAGCAATTTCCATGACATTTCGGGGGCGGAGGGGAGAGGAGAGGGGTTTGTTCGCAGCCGAAAAAATAATAGCGCGACAATACGGCCTCCGTATACCAGAATTAACCCTCTCAGAGAGGATAAGGGGGGAAGGAGGGTTAATTCGAGCCTTCCCTTTTTTTATTCTCATCCTTTAATTAAACTCAAGGAAATCCTCCTTGGATTAATTCCAAGAATCTTTTATCGCCTTGTTGTTTAATTAAAATTTCCTCCGTGGGATATAAATAACACGGATGTTATAATCAAATAAACCGTTAATTCAATATTGAATCCTTTGAAATGAATAGGAAATGAAATAATATTCCTCCTTTCTTTCGTCTCCATTCAAAGTTGTAAAGGTATATAAATTTATCATCGAGCAACACTTGCTGCCCCCTCAACCCAGTCGACTTTCAGGGACCGGATGTTGAAAACGTTAAAACTCGATGCCATAAAAAAAAAAAGAAAAGAAAAAAACGAAAAACTGGTAATCGATTTTTCAATTCGTAATTTACTATTCGAATTCCGTTAAATTGGGGAAATTTGGTGAAAATCGATCGTTGGACACTTGGGTCGAAGGATGGAGGGAAGGGTGATATATCGCGGTGAGTCTGTCCGTATCGAGAACAGAGTCGTCGACATAAATCAGTGTCTAAGGCAAGGACGGTCGATGAGAGTGTAGCGACAAATTGGCGAAGGGCCTTTCGTCTTCGATTTCATTTCGTACACACGGCCATGGCGAGGGGCATCACTGCGATGCTCGTGACGGAATTTAATTTGCCCGGGCCGGAAGTAATCCTGCGCGACTAGATCCTTTGCGTGCCTGATCGGACGTTGACTCGATCCACTGCGCCGCTGAGGTGCACAAGGGACAATTTCTCCCCGAACGTGATTTATTATGGTGGTGCGATTCGAAGTGGAGTGATAAAAATACCGAGGTCAGAAGGGGAAGGAGAATTTTGCAGGTAAAATTTTACAATCTAACACGATAGATAGAAGATCGAGAGAGAGAGAGAAAATAATTTATAAATCTCAAATAGATTGAAACATCGAGATCAAATGTTATACGTGAAAATATTATGTATACTTTGGCAAGTAAATTTTACGATCTTATAAAAGTATAAAAAAAAAAAAATAATATTGGGGATGCTTGATAATTAAAATAAATTTTCGAAGCGATTAACGAAGGAAAATAATTTCTCTGGAACGAATGACGAGATAAATAAAATTCCACAAGAATTCGATAATTCATCGTAGGATGAATCGTAAAGAGAAATTTCATATTTAAAAATTAATAAAAAAGGGGGAAAAAGAGAAGGAGGGGATCTACGTGTGAAAAATTTCCGTCGAATTGCGCGTGTACCGTCATTATATCGCAAGAGAGTCACCAGTATTTTTCCTTTCGACGAGAAACATCCTTACCTACCTAGAAGCATTAATCATAAATATCTCAACGAGGCAAGCGCCCGTAACAAAAGAGGCAAGAACAAGAAAAATGATCCTCCATGCTCAATTTTTTAAACGTTCCAAGAGCATACAAATTATCCTCGCGCCGCGAAACTTCGAGACGCGTTGTGAAAACGTGGATAGAGGAAACGAAAAAGGAGGGGGGTAACTTCGTGCGAAACGCGAGTACTTTGGGTACTTTTTCTTAAATATTGCATTCCCTCGAAGAAGAAAAAGGGAAAA